CTTCTCTAGGTACAGTGTGGCACAAAAGGGGTTACGATCATGCAAGATACTGGTGGCTTTCTTTCTTTTATCCTTTTATTTTTTTATTTTTTATTTTTTTAGACAGAGACTTTTGCAATAGTGTGTGTGTGCTTGCCAGAGAGACAGAAAGCAAGAAATCACCCCCCCCACAGGGATGGCCATGCCACAATCCCTTCTCCTCCATTCTTTCTCATGATCTTGGGCACATGAGCACATGTGCCCAGGGTGAGTTTAAGCTGTTCGATTTGTAACTCCAACCATGGTCGACAATGCAGGTGCCTAGTGATGTAACCATTAGGCCATCATCTGATCAAAGACAAGCAGAGACTGGGTGCTCGTCTGGCTAATTCAAGTTCAGTCTCTCTTCCACATTCCTGGATGGTTGAGTACTTCACTGATGTCACATTAGTCCATTTCGGGCTGTAAGCCTATATCTAACCTGAGAGTCACTTTCTGAAGGTCACTAATAGTTTCATACAATTAATGATTTAAGTTAACTGGATGCTTATTATAACTAGAGCTGGCACAGCTGTAACTGTGATTGGAGCGGCACATTATCCATCAAAAGAGAAATGTTTTTCTAAGGGAAATGGTATGTGCTTATGCTATCCATCAACGGGCTGAAGTGTAGTGTGCACTTTGATCAGGACACAGTACTAACATTTAACATGAACCCAATTCACTGAATGACCCTGACTCACACCCTGTAATTCAATCAGAGCACAATCTTAAACCCCCGAACCACTTCCATACCATCAGCTTCCAGTTTGTTTCTCACATCCTTTGTAGAATGTCCGTGTGTCTAGACAGACATGCTAGCTGTATCAACAAGTGCAGAGTGAAAGCATGATAGAAACAATTATTAAACTAATCCAAGCTTAAAATTTCAGCCTGGTGGGACCAGCAGTTAGCGTGATGGCTGTCGCTGGACTCCCACGTAGTCGAACTTGGTTCGCGTCCTGGACCTGGTGGCTTAAAACTCACGCCGGGCTCGTGTGCGTGTGTGCCCAAGATCCCGAGAGGAGAATGGAGGAGAAGGGATTGCGGCGTGGCCATCCCCCCTGGGGGGTGATTTCTCACTTTCTGTCTCTATGTCTCTCTCTGTCTGTCTGGCGAGTGCGCGTGCCCTGTAGTGAAAACCACTCAAAAAAAAAAAAAGAGGCTTCTCTGAGTCTTTAAAAAAAAAAAAATTCAGCCTGGCCTCAACTGCTTAATGATTGCTGGTTATCTATTTATTTATTATTGTTTGATTAACTGGGAGACTGTCTTTTTAAATAACTAGCATATCATATCAATAGTTGGCATAGTTGTTATGGCACTAGACTCCCACATGGCCAAACTGCAGTTCGAGTCCTGGACCCAGCGGCTTGAAACTCATGCCAGGCTTGTGTGTGTGTATGCACCCAAAATCTCAGGAGGAGAATGGAGGAGAAGGGATTGTACCATGTCCACCCGCTCAGGGGTGGTTTTCCCTTTCCTTCTCGCTGTCTTTCTCTGTTTCTCTCTGACGAGCACATGTGCCCTATGACAAAAACTTAAAAAATATAATAGTAATTGGTACAACACACACATATATAACACGTAGAGTGTTTTTATATGTAACTCCAGAGGAACCAACCATATTTGTTTCACCTCTGTTTTACTGGGGTCTGTCTAACTGATATTGTGCTCATTTAAGTTGAATAATATTTCATGAAAGTGGCAAAATTGGATTTGTATGCAGTCGTTGAGGAGTCTACGTGACAATAATAATGAATACCACTTGTGGAAAGCTGATTAAGTGATTAGTGTCACGCTCAGCAGCTTTAAAAATAATATTCATTAACTTATTTAATCCTGACTGTAACCATAAGAGAAAGGTATAGAAAGCTAATGAATTAAAAAAAAAAAAAGTAATGTTCCCACTTTTAGGATGTGATAGAACCTAAATACTATGTAACCACAAAAATCCTAGTTTTGAAAATTATTTAATGACAAGGGGACACACTCATCACTTAGTACAAACTAGAGTACAAAACTAATACGTATATGTTTGTGCCGCATACATACATAGGCAGTTTAGTGGCTAGGTACGCAGGGGGTTAAATTCCTGAAAGGTACTATACTCAATTAGTAGCAATTCATTGGAGTAATAGATCACTTGTCCTTCCTTTTGGATTTGCCATATGGCAGCTACATCAAATGCGGCCAGTGTGACTAAGGAATTGAAGCTAAAGTTTTACTTTATTACAGTGACTTGAAGTTAAAATAACCACACATGGCCAGTGACTACCATGATGGACGCTGAAGCTCTAAACTACAGAAAGATAGAGAAAAGTTTGCACATTCTTCTTATAAAGCCAGTTTAACCATTACCTAAACATAATAGAAATGTAAACTATGGGGGAAATTTTCACATATGAATAATATTCTTTTTTTTCTTTGAGAGGTTTTTGCCATAGCGTGTGTGTGCTCACCACAGAGACAGAGAGAGAGAGACAGAGAGAGAGAGGGAGGGAGAGGGAAATAAGAAATCATTCCCCCACCCCACCCCCGAGGAGATGGCCACACTGCAATCCCTTCTCCTCCATTCTCTTTCTGGCATCTTGGGCACACAGGCACACACACCCACACTTGTGATTTTCAAGCTATGGGGTCTAGGTCTCAAAACATCATTGTCCATGTGGGAGTTGAGTGACATAACCAGTATGTCATCCTCTGGCCCCATAAATGGCATTTTTAGTAAAATACAAACAAAGATGATCCAGACATGTTAGAGCAATCACAGGTACTGGAAGTTCAGGATGGTTCAATATTGGGAAAGCCACTAATACTGTCCATTCCTTCTAATGGGTCAAAAGAGAAAACTTAGGCTATAACTGTTGAAATGGCATCAGAATTAAACATGCATACTTGATGAAAAAATCTTCGTAAAATCAGACTAGGTTAATATTCCTGACATTATATAGTTTATAACATGATAAAATTTTTATTTTGACTGAGAAGAATGCATGGGGAAATAATAAAATGGAAAACTGATTAAAAAATAAACAACCCATTAGATGGAGGATGTTCCCATTAAATACTGAACAAAAAAATATATTTACTGTAATCAGTATTACTTTGGATTATTCAGGAAGTTTAATATGCAAGCTAATGAAATAACAGAAAAAAAGAGGATGTTTAAAAATTGAAGGAAGTACACTACGGCATTATTAACATAATCCTGGTAGACTAGTAGACATAGTCACACATACTACAATGTAGTGGTTAGGAGCATAGACTCTGAAGTCCTCTGGCGTTCAGTTGCTGGCTCTGTTAGTAACTACCTTGGGCAATTACCTAACTTCTCTATACCCAGTTTTCCCCTCTGTAAAATAGAGACAGTAAAGTGATCACAGAGCTGTCAAAGAGCTTAAGTATGTAAATATTGGGACATTGGAAAAGTCATGACACATTTTTCCATAGAAAAATATGTCATAAAAAATGTCATGACTTTTCCAATGACCCAATACATAGAAAGTTCTTAGACTAAGGCTGTATATAATAAACACTACAAGGTACTATAATTATTATTAAGATGATAGTAATGAGGCTATTAATAATGTACAAAATATATAAAAACCCAAAATTTCCTATATAAAAAAAGAAATCTATAATAGAAACAACATAATTCTTAGAAATAGCATAAGAAGAATGTATAAGATGAATATGCATATTTAAAAATGCTACAGAGGACAAAGCTGCATTAAAGGAAAGATATATATTATTCTTAGATAGGAAAATCTGACATTGCAAGCTTATAAATTTCTCCTGATTTATTCTATACATTTAAAATATTCTAAATTTCTATAAAGACGGAACACGGCAGCTTGGTTTGGTTTGTGTGTTAATATGAATTAATCTCCAGGATAATCTTCAAGATGAAGAAAAATATATACGGAGTTGTGTGCTATCATTTGTTAAAACATGTATATCTAATACACAACACATATACGTGTGTGTATGTGTGTGTGTGCATATGGAGGTCTTCAAAATGTTCAAGGAAAATGCATTTTATAAAAAATGCATTCATTAATTTCAAAAACTGAATTTCAAAAAATGTTTGCACCAAAATAAACTCATACTTTAATTCTATTTCCCATTAAGTTTATCAAGCATGCTTCAATGGGTGTGTGTTTGTATATATATATATGTGTGTGTGTATATATATATATATATATATATATATATGCATGCATGTGTGTGCATATGTACATACACATATATGATATGTGTTTATAAGTGCATAAAATATCCCTGGAAGAGATGCCAGTTTAAGAAAAGAAGCTCAGTAGCTGAAGAATACCTACAGGAAAGCACTTGCTTTTCATTATATACCATTTTATATATACATTTTGCATTTTACATCGTGTGTCTATATCTTCAAAAACAGTTTTTCCAGATGGCTTTTAGTTTTTATCTCCTTTTTTTCTCCTTTTCACAAGGAGGAAATCTTGGCTCTTTCCTGACTGTGTTGATACCAGTAGGACAATCTCAGTTCCTTTCCTCTTTTTCCCTTTATTATGTGGATAATAAATAAATGTCAAAAAATAAGCAATAGGAATGTGAGACAGATCACCTCCATTTTACACAATACGAGTAAAATATGGAAAAACCTGTATTTGGAAAATATCTGAAAAGCCACACTGCATATTAAGTGTTTATCTTTTTTTAATTTTTTAATTCATTTATTTAATTGACCAGAGGGAGACAGACAGAGAGAGAAAGTGAGAAAGCAAGCCACCAGGTCCAGGACTCAAACCATGGTCGGCCGTGTGGGCGTGTCCAGTTCCTTAGCCACCATGCCACCTGCCTGTCCCAAAAGTGTTTATCTTGAGTGGGGTACAATAGGTCATTTTGGTTTCATGTTGCAATTTTCTGTCATGTTCAATGTTTATGTAATAACATACATTGCTTTTGCAATAATTAAAAAAAAATAAACTTTTTTTGCTACTCACCTGGTTCCTGTCTCTGGCATTTGCATATCGGAACCTCTGGATATAATAAAAGACCAGCCACGCGAGAGAAATGATCATCAGGACGATGAAGGAGATGGAGACAAACACCACCGAAGTGCGGCTGACGTATTTCTGCAGGTTCCGAGTGCCGATGGTGATGTACATGGTCACAGTGATGTTCCTTTCCAGCAGGCTCACTATCTCCTTCCCTTTGGGCTCAGGAATCATTATGGCCACTATGTCTTCTACACCTGTGATGAGAGGGGCAAGGAAGAGGCCATCAGGGAACAGGGACGAGGTGGGCGGAGCCTAGGAAAAGGTCTGGACAAAGTAACATGCAACCAAATGATGATGCTGTTTGAGGATTCTGTGCTGAGCAAGAATGACCTAGTAGCCAGAAATGAGTCAAATGTTCTCTTCCTTTATCAACCCAAGGATGACTAACTGAATTCATGATTCTGCACACTAGAGGCCGTGATCTTGGGACTTCCTTTTCAGCTCTCTACAGTGTAGATGACCTCGAGTCTGTAAAGGTGGATCCCTCCTAGCCAGCCAATTTACAGATATATGTTGCATTCCATAGATCCCTGAGGATGGGAAGGGGTGCTGTGCACACCGCACTGAAAGTTTAATGTACCTGGCTTTTGGCTGCTTATCTGAGAGCTCTCTCCCCTCCCACATGCAGATATTATGAACACCCAAAGACAGATCTCTATGGACCATTTCCGAGGCAATATTCTCTCAAAGGGAACGAGACCCACGCCACCAAAACAAGGGGTTTTTTTTGTTGTTGTTGTTTACTTTGCTTAAAGAGTTCTTAATAGAATTTACCACTATGAAATAATAGTCTCAGAACTATTTTCTGTTTTACCTAATTCAATTAAAATAACTTGCATGTCCTCAGACCAAGTAAAGGGAATATGGATACGGTATAGATAATCCCAGGACTGTTTTGCCTTTACTCTCAAATACTCCCACCATCCTATTTGTCTCATAATGGGATGTTCTAAAGCAACAGTGGCACTCTTCCAGGGCCTGAGTGATGTGTGTCACTGTCTTTATGACACTATGTACAGTGTCACTATGTACAGTGTCTCGGTGACTCCTGGGGTCTCTACAACAGGGTCTTCAGTAACGTGACCCCAAGTTCAAATGCGCCAACCCAGCAGTCATTGTGGCTGATACATGGACGAGACTATCAATTTCACTATGATAGGTTCTCTGGGAATCAGCCCATTCAAATCCATGGAGAAAGATGCAAGTTGACTGGGGTACACAGGCACCACCTCTACATGGAAATATCCCGTTACTTGGGATGACTACAAATGAAAGGAAGCCACTTTGCAGTTTGGATGTTGTGGATTTTGAGCAATATGAAACTCTGCACAGCTGCTTAAAACTGCCCTTGTCCACATGCTGGAGCTAGCCAGCTATTATAGATAGAAACACCAGATTACATTTTCTCAGGGTGTTGCAAGTTTCTTAGTTACTAAGGACTTTCACTTGACCTGATCTAAATGCAAATCTTCAATCCTAAATTCCTTGACGGTGTTTCACTTAGACTGAATAAATACTTTCAAAGCTAACTACATACCAATGGGTTTGCTACATACTTGTATATTTAAAAAAATTTCTAAAATGTCTGCATTGTTCCAATTATAAAATTGGAAAGCCACATAGTGTTTGGGTTTGGCTGTTATTTCAGGGAAGTACTGAAACTGATGGCTTGCATGTCAATTTTGCAGACTCTAACTGACAATTTTGATGCTCTTTCTTCTTTCATGTTTACTTAGCCTAATGGCTGCATGTGGTCTGAGGTTTTGGGAGGGATTAAGGCTGCTGGTGGGTTTTGTCTCTACAGAAACATGATCTTCTTTGTACACTGGACTAATCCGGCCTGGTGAGGCCATTTCTGCTGCAGCTATTTCAGAAGGATTTGAGTTTGGTAGACTCATAATTTCTCATTTAATTTATTCCCATATTTATAATCTTTAGGCATATTTACTTAAAGCTCTGGAATTAGTCTTTTTGAAGAGGGAGCCTTGGGGTTATTATGAGTTTTCTGTATGCCCAGATGGGCACAAGTTTTAGATGGGCACATTTTCCAGTAGTTAGTACATTAATATATTAGTCATTATTTCATTCTTTTATGGTTTCCAGTTACTCTGCTTAGAATGTTCATCTCCATACAACATCATAGAAAAACCTATCAACTTCTTGAAATACTGTAGTTTGACTTTACACTTCAATTTTGAACAACCCAAATGTGATTTAAAATAATACAGTCTATATGGAGCTCTGATAATATGATAGGCATAAAGAAGAGAGATTAGGATACAATGTATTTTCCCGTAAATTTTCACAGACATATTTGGGAATATTCTCCTTTGTTTTTCTGTGAGGTTGAACTGTTTTCTGCTAAACTTGCACCGGGCTGTTTTCATTGTGTAGACCAGTTAAGAGCTGGTCTCTGAAACTGGATGACTTGTTTTAAACCCCAGGTCAGCATTTTAAAAATAGGCAACTGAATTTTAGACTTTCAATTACTCATCATTCCTTTTCAGAGACTTGAGGAAATATTTTACCTCGAGCTTCCATCACTATTTCTCCCCCCTACAATTTTCTACTATCTACTTGAACTTAAGAGACTATAAAGTCTAGCAGTTAAGAGCTGGTCTCTGAAACTGGATGACTTGTTTTAAACCCCAGGTCAGCATTTTAAAAATAGGCAACTGAATTTTAGACTTTCAATTACTCATCATTCCTTTTCAGAGACTTGAGGAAATATTTTATCTTCCTGAAGAATAAAGTATAATTAACTATTTTAAAGCATTTATTTTAAACTTAAGCACTGAATGCCATGGCCTGGGCTGTTTGTATTTGTACCACTGGTGTGTCTTCATGATATTCATCCACTTGGAAAGAAAAACAATGCAAGTAGGAGCAGGGTAGGCTGGCTTAGCTGGACTTCAACCTTATCTGTTTTCAATATGGCTCATGGATTTCTAGGGGCTGATGGTAAAAATAAATGGAATTCTGGGATATTCCTCTGTGAATTGTGCAAGGTGAAAAAAATGACACTAGGGATATGTATTTGTCTCAATTGAAAAAGTCATTAAGAATTTAGATACTAAGGGTGCCCAAAGAACAGTAGATTCAGATCAATTATCACTGTGAAGTGGATTTGGATCAATTATCATTCTGAACAAGGCACAATGTCTAGGGGAAAAGCCGCCCCAGATCTAACTTGTTCAAAGGAGACATGCATACCGGTGGGAGTGAACAGAGGATTCCCTGATCTTTGCTCCACCTGGGGATGGGTGGCTACACTATCAGGGAGAAGCCAACAGGTTCTTCCAGATGTCCTGGAATGTAATCACTTCCAGTACATGTGAGGTAGGTAAGGAGAGAAATGGATGGGGTGGGGGGAAGACCTGAAAGCCTAATGGAGTGATCTCAGAGTTCAATGCTGCCTTAAGTGGCCACTATGTATCTACCATATGTCTACTAGCTGTAGATCTCTATGTCTGTATCAATAGCTATACCTAGCTACCATAGATAGGTAGTCTAGTGTGTGTGTGTGTGTGTGTGTGTGCATTTATATATAGATATCTACATATCTATCTATCTACGCATCTATGACACACTGGAGACTCCAGTCGCAGAGAAGTGAATAAATAGCCTACAGTACTTTGTATGTGTGAAATCTACAGAGACCTTGCTGCTTGGGCAATTCTATTTTACTGTGACACTCAGTTGCTCCAATACTGAGTGTCTCTTTTACAAAATTATTTTAGCCTACCATCATTTTCCTCTCAAAGACATTTCAGGCTTCTGGGTGGTGAGTGAGTGCTGTGCTATACTTATCATGCATTCTGGAGAAGCTCTTCAGTTTTGTGAGAGAATGTGGCCAGGACACAACCCGACTACCAAAGGACAGCGGGTGTGTCTTGTACTTCTAGTGCTTCCTCTGCCCAAGACAGTGCTCAATTGCCATGATCTACTTTGATATATGCAGATGAGTAGGGAATCAAAACAAAAGTTCATAAAGCCAAAAAATGATTAAGAACCAGAAGGCCCTTTGCTTGAGCCAGGCTGTTTCAGCCTTGCATTAGGACATCTGGGACACCAGCGGAACATTGGCCACTTTGCAGAGCTTGTCGCCCCATTCTTCCCTACGCAGCCTACAGGGTGGCAGCATCGTCCCGGGGTTCATGCAACCAAAAACTCATTCTCCATGCCCCCATCCTTCTCTCTCCCCTAATGCCAAGTGTTGGACCTGATGGCTTTTCATATTTTGCTCCCTCTGTCTCTCTCTGGTGAACATATGTGCCCGATAGCAAATTAAAAATAATAATAAGTACAATTAAATAATTTTTAAGGAACCACTAGGCATGGATTTCAAAATTCTCTGCACTAAAATAAATTCATATTTTAACTCTAATTTTTAAAAAATGGAGTTAAACTCATGAGCTTAAAAATTTTTTTCTTTATTCATGATTGAGCACATGTGCATGCATGAGAGAGACAGAGACAGAGAGAGAGAGAGAGGGAGGATCATCCTCCACAGAGGATCACCCTCCACAGAGTCTCATCATGCCATGATCCCACTGCTCTGCAGTCTTCCAGCCTGTCGGACCTTGGGCACTTGCATACCCGCCTGGTGTATTTCAAACTGACCTGGCTAGGGATTCACCCTGCAGTTGCCATGTGGGATCTGGATTCTCTTAAGTAGCTCAGTATCACTGCAACATGGAACTGACCCATCAGAAACTTTTTGAAGTCTCCTCTTGTTATTGTTTTAGCAATGCACATGTCCAACAAACAGTCTCAATCCACAGCCTTCCTTGCAGCTAGATGTGGCTATGCAATTAGCATGAATAATTCCATGTGAGCAGAAATGACGCTGACCATCCTGGATCCCTAGCTATAGGAGGACTGAGTATGTGCTCCCCTCACGGCAGCAAATACATATACGTGTATGTGTGAGTGTGTGTGTTGTTTCACCTATCTCTTTCCTCTAATTTTAGAAAGGTGTGGTGCAGTGGCTTCCCAGAGAAGGAAGCCATCTGTAGAGAATGGTACCCACTCCTGATTTGCATTTAGAGAAGTAGAAGAAAATTTCCTTAATGTGATAAATGACCTCATAAAGAAATATTATAGTCAGTGGGAGAAAAACATTAGAAGTTCTTCTATTAAAATCATAAGACAGACCAAGATGAGCCCACACTGGGAGTCAAAGTTCTATGTG